CATGTCGTCGCCCGTACCTTCTTGGAAACTTTGTACTGCTACAGCATTGAGTGCCACCACATGGAATCGAAGGGCGTTGGAGAAACTCTCGCCTACTTGGAATGGAAGGGGGCTGAGTACCTAAAGAAGATGGAATATCCAAGTAGGTCACCTGACCTGAATCCCCCGTCAATTACCTGGTTTGGGCGGAGTTACATAGGTGATCTAGCGGTGGGGCGAGAAAATCGGCTATCTGCTGATCTCCAAAGCATCACTCGGCGGGTCGCGCGCCAGAATCTCTCGATGGCGCTCGTGCAGCAGGCTGTGGAGGAGTGCCATGATAGTATTTAATATGCTCTTTAATATGGTGGTAAAAATGTCCGATCAGAATTTAATAAAGTGTAACTTATAGCGCCTCGAAAGTCAATGAAGAAAAGTGACTTTTTTTTGCCCCCCCCCTCCTGTATATGTCTCCACATTTTCGAATGGGATGGCCGAATACTTCGAACGCTGTGTAGGTTCCGCGACGTACGAATTCTCGCTATAGTTAAGCTGTTGCAAAAGATGAAATACATGATTCTTCGCAAAAACATGGGCATATTTACTAATTCAAAAGAATACACAAATGCATCATCATACAATTGCAGAGAAATAGTACGCCTCTCATGGCGTCAATTTAAATAATGGACCCATTTATTATAAATCAAATACAGAGCCTGTGTAATATTACAGAATGGAATGCTATGTGTTCATCAATGGCGGAGTGTGGCTGGCAACAAGATCCAGAAGGCATCGCTGGTGCGAGAATTCAACAAAAGCGTCCACGAAGTTCACTGGCTGTCGGTTTCCACCTTTGAATGTCGTATATTCCGAGCAACCATGGACGGACGATGCGGACCCATACGCATATGGACGTGGTGGTTGTAGCCCCACTGAAACAGTTCTTACCTTAATATTTTACTCACACATCATCATCGTTCTATATATGGAAATGGAGCAATTCGGCTTGGTAGGGGCACCACATGTACTCAACGGGGCCTGTACAGGTCACATTATGAAGACTTGTAATAAATTGGTTTAGTCAAAGTGGCTCACTTGTACCATTTCCAGGTTCACAAGAGTTAACGAAGTGAGATTTGTTAGCTGACATAAAGTAGCAAACGAACTAGCGAAAGTGCAATGTGCCCCCCCTAGCCGAACAGCCCTCGAGAAATTTAACTGTTTTCCAAGAAAGCGATAAAAACTTGGAAATTAAACGGCAACAAAGGAATCTTGGCCTATAAGGAGAACAACTTCGAGCGCACTTCGGCAACGGACGGGCGTTTTGCTTTTTCGCTGCTTCACTACTTAGGGTACAGCATCGTTGTGTGAAACACAGGGGAGGTCGTACTTTTGGTGGGGAGGGGTTCGTTGGAGAGGTTGTATCTGTCCCGTTGATTGGGAGGGGCGGAGGGGTGCCTATATGTGGGCCTTAGAGGGAAACGTTGCCAGCGTTAGGAAAAATCTTTCCTCGCGGTGTGTTTATTTTTCGTGGATTTTTCCGGTTCCCCTTATGCGCTACAATTACCTAAATGCTCCCGGCCCCCCCCGTCCGTGCTCGAACGGAAAATCCGCTGGAGCGAAAAACTGGAAAATGTGGGAAATTGGTAGGTAGGCGCTGAGGGAGAGTGCGGTCGTCGTAGCGAGACCCTGATTTAGGTGGGGGGATCGTACCAAGATCCTTCTTCGAGAGTGGAGGGGGGTCGTATTGGCACCACCATGTACCCTGTCACTTGTTCCACTCTGGTGAAACTTGTAAACTCTTGTGAGACTGCTGCAAGCTCGTCGAGCCACCATTGTAGAACCTGTCAACACTTGGAAGCTCACGAAAGTGACTCTTTTGATGGGTCGATATGTCAATGAGATGCAGCAAATGTGCGAAATGCAACCCCCGTCGCCAAACTGCCCCCCGACTTTGTTCCCAACGTGGCGCGAAATCCGAAGTGGTTTGACTGGTTGTCGTCACTGGCACTTCAGCTACCTTACGGCGTTCGCAGGGTCGAATCTGCAAACTCTGTCCTTCATATGTGAAAGTATGGCGCGGTGAGCAGTGGTAACGTCGTGCTTTTGTCACTCTTGGACGGCACTGAGTACAATTACGAATCCCAGTCTTAGACCGGAGTTTGCTGGGAGAAACTACAGACTCATGGATTACCTTCAATATGCGATCATATCTTGAAGGGGGCCTGGCGTCGCTTAGTAGCCTCATCCGCCCGCCAAACAGATAAGCAGACGCTTACGGCCGGCATAATTAAACAATTAGTGCTCTTTTACGAACCATGTCATTATATGCTCAAAATGAGAATCATGGGCATGTTTGGGTGAGATGGAAGTGCTGGGCGGTGATTCTTCAGCTGATCATGCTGAATGCTCCCAAGATTATCCGAACACAACCACAGAGCGGCGCTTAAGTGGCTTGAAGTAGAGCCGCATACTGCCAAAGCGGTACGGGAGTTAAATCCCTTATGGGTTCCGCCGTAGACAAGTGGCGCCCTCTTGCACAATCGACAATAGTGGAGACTTATGGAGAGGGTAAAAACACCTGATTTGTACTTCGCAACCGCCCTCGTAAGTGATAGTAGGCCCTAAAGTATTCAAGAGGGCGCATTAAGAAATGGAGCAACAATTCGGCAAATGCGGCTTATGAAGGTTTTGCCGACCGAGTAAGAACTAGACAAACGGTGGCCACGATTTAAGCGTTGGACTCTGTACAACCCCTTTCTACAATGAGATGCAAATGCAGAGCAGAACCCGAAAATGACAAGAGAAGTTCACTAAAACGATGAGTGTAGTGCACATAAATGGGAAGTATCAGCGGAGGGTGTAGTAGCAAGTGGCCTGCTTACCGCCCGCTCGCTCCGGGCTCAGATTCTAGCTCTCATACTGGCCAACAAAGCGTTTCACCTCTCAGATTCAACACGCTGGGTTCATCTGAGAGGACAATACACTGGGGGGGGGTACATCGACTGGCCTCGCAAGTCACTGCATAGGCCACATCGCATTCAATAAGCCACTACGATTCCGAATATAGGGAGAATGCGCGTCGCATCCCCGGAAGGGATATCGGCAGCGAAAGCTTTATTCTGTCTCATGTACGTAAATTCCTGCGCTCACCTCTTCGAGTACTGTAATATCGTCGTGCTTTTGAATACAGCACCAGTTGATGCAAGTAACTGAGACGACGAACATGATGGCGAAGAAGATCACCCAAACGGCGAGAGCTCCAAAGTAGTCAATAAGGTCAAGGTCCTGTTTCCCCATAATGATCAAGTTCTGAAAAATTCGCATCAGTCAGAAGATATTTAAGAGATATTTCGTTACGGACGGAAATCGGAAAACGACAGAATATTCATGACCGAGAAAATGAGATAGAGAAGAACAGAAAGTAAGGTGTAGTTTAGGTGTATGGGTACGTGGCAAGAGAATCGCAATTCGCCACGCCAGCGGGCGTCGCGTGCGACGTCGCGCCCGCTAGCTAACGACGATTTTCAGGTGGTATTGGTCGAGAATAGACAATGTATGACCAAAAATAGACATAAGTGTCTACCATGTCCTTGTCTACATGAAATCCGATGCTCCAATCGAAAGGTAGTGCAAATTGAGGAAACGTCGCGCCCATTACCGCGCGCGGCGGAGCGGCGATTTACGACCCTCTTGCCCGTCTCCCCCTTTTGTTTCCTTAACACGTCTACAGTACACGCCGCCTAGCAGTGCACAGACATAAAGGCTATGAAAAAAAATTCAGAGGAAACCTCAAAGACAAATTCCTCCGCAATTGTATATCGTGGACATTGGGCTCACTTAAAAAGTTATAGTCGCAAAATGACTCTCCAGGAAAGAAAAAAAGCAAAAAAAACGTGGGGAAGACCTTAGGCAGGGATCTGAGAGTCTCTCTGGACGATTCTCCGGACCTGCCCGTCGTCATCTAGTGCTGATATCATCTAACAAAGAAGGAAACCAGAAATGCGTGTAAGACTGAACCACGACTAGGCACAGCCCGTGTTACTTGCTGTGAGGTCGCGGAAAATTGACAATCTTGGAGACTCGTGACAGAAAGCAGCCTTTGAGTTTCGGTGGGCGGGACAACTAGGGAGGCGTCAGAACTGCCACTTATGAGGGCCACAGCGCCTTCGTTACTCACTGTGGAGCCACAAGGAAGTGCGCCCACGATTCGCTTGAGCGCGGACTGTCTCTAAACTAACTAGGAACTAAAGGGAAACATTTTTGCGAATAGCATATGAGCACAGTGTACCCACTTTCGATTTTTTCCATGGAGATGTTCCCTTGGAATCTTGTTCCTCAGAGCACTTTCCCTGAGCATGAGCATCACATCCGTTTGGCGCATAGCGCTCGCTTCACCTCAGGAGAGCAAGTTTGCTGGAAAGGTACGCCCAGGGATATTTTGAGCACCCTGAACATAAACACCACCTCTGCTTGGCGGAAAGAAAATAATTGGTAGTCAGCATTTAAACTGGCCTAATGCTCCAGCACTTTTGGCGCCGGCGCCAAGCATTTTCACATACTTCAAGCCACAAGACCTCATTAGAAGAATCCCATAAAAATCCAAAAATTCAAAAGCGCCATCAAAAAAGGGAAAGCCGAGCTCAAAACTACCAGACAAGATCTACGGCATTTCCAGAGACATTGAGTGTCAAATTCACATTAGGATTAACAGTTCATGTTGAAAGAACCTCTTAAGTTTTTTAATCAATGTTAACCTGTAGCTCTGAAGAGTACCCTCTTGAATGCAAAACGAGATCGCACTGTATGCTTGGATGACCTTCATAAAGATTTTTTCGAGGTCTCGACGTTCATACCCTGAGACACTGGAAAATTTATCATCCGTTTGAAGGAAAATTTATGCATCGAATCCCGCGAAGTAAAAAGTCAGAGCATCGGTGGAGAATAAGACCGCTCCGATATCATATTTCTCTGACTCTCCGGTCAGGGCACATCACTGGTTGGGATTTTGGCCGGGTCCTTGCGACCCCCCCCCCCCGTTTAGGAGATGGCTTGGTACGACCTCCATTGGTTCTCTCATCTGATTGAGTTGCAGAGCGGGGAGGTAGGGGGGTGGGGTATATAGTACGTAGGAAACAGGAATAACCATGAATAGTCAACCTTTTTCAGAAGGCCAGGAAGGCCAGATGGCAAACACGACATCCCCCTCCCAACAACGGGCAAATACGACCTCCTCTCCTTTATAGCGTCCCTGAAACAAGACTAATCAACAACCAAAAAAATTTTCTCAGACCGACTACGACCACCTCCCTCCCCCAGTGGCCAAATGCGACCCCCTTTTTGGGAAATTCCCAACGATGTGCCCTGTCTTCAGTTCTAGCGCTTCGGTATGAACGAAGCCTCACGGCGCGGCGAAAGGTTGGGATTGTTCTTTATTACCGGCAACTCAACTACATTACCGGCTCTACAACTGTAAGTAATAGAGGACGCATAACCAAGGCACTTCCTGATGCTGAGGGAAATTTTCGGAAAATATGACCCCTCCCCCTTTCCCCATACCACCCACCACTTTCCTAGAACTTCCCAACTTCCTAGCACTTTTTTCCAGTTTTTTTGGAATTCGAGAAAA